CACAATCAGCCTGTGTCTCACCCTTTGTCCCCTCTTCCTCCACCTCCCCATTCTCTCCTTTTCCACATCCTGAAATCCTGTCCGTTCTTTAAGACTCAGGTCAAATGCTCCTCTTCTGACCCCCTCAGACCTAACCCAGGCAGATGCCTGTCCCTGACTGTGTTTCTCAGATTTCCCTCACTCTTAGAAAACACCCGAGATCATCAACCCACAAACAAGGAAAGGCTTGTTTGGGCCCATGGTTTACACCTGTCAATCCACGGTGGCTTGGCCCCATGTTTCTGACTTGTTAGGCGGCAGAGCATCAGGTCTGGGTGTGGCAAAGCTAGTTTGCACAGCTTACGGTGCCTGGGACAGAAAAGGAGGGGGAGGGGAGGGAGATAGAGGGAGAGTTTCCCTCCCCCCACCAAGAGCTCTATGACCCACCTCCTCACACTTCCTAAAGTTCCCGACACATCTCAATAGTGCCGTGAACTGGAGATCAAGCCTTCAACACATGAGTGCTGGGAGTCATGTAAGAACAAGGCCACAGCCCCCCTTCTCTCCCTCAGTTCCTTCCGAGCTCCACAGAGCAAACCGTGCTTCTGCTGGATCCTAGTCACCTGGGAACATTCCTGTCTCTCAGCTCTTGACTGGTCTATATTCAGACCTGGGTTAGAGGGGAGATCTGTGAGGCTTAAGTTTCTGAACAACAATCCATTCCCAGAAGAGATGAGAAGACGAGGTAACAGATGAGGGTGGACGAGGGCTTGGAAAGAAAAGAGCAATTGTTCCCAGAGAGAGAGTCTATGCAGAGTGTGGGGAGGAGGCCGGATGTCTTCAGTCCAAATGAAATGATTCAGAGGAAACCTGAGGAGAAAAAAATGACCAGAGAGGCAAATGTCAACCTTCTCGGGAAGGGAAGGAAAAGTTAGAGCCAGGAATCATCCAAAACAGCCACCTTATGCCCCACACCTGCACCTCTGAGATGACCAAAGCATGCTGGGAACATCCTGTGAAATGCCACAAATCCTCCGGAGTTGAGGAGTGGCAGATGAGATCACCTCAAGCCAGTGACTAGAGGAAACTTTCTCACATGGTAGGGCTCTGCCCCTGACAGAGACACCTACCCACCAAGGCCTTCTAGAAGTTTCTGTACAACTAACAGAGACAAGAGCGCCTTCATGAGACGTGCCTCAGAGAGCCACTGTGGGTCCACGTGGACAGGGAGTCAGGTGTCATTTATGAGTCAGCCGTGAGTGAGTTATCTGTTCTCACTTCTTAATCTCCCTGGGTATACAGTCCCCACGTCTCCTTCCCTGGGACCCACAGCTTCTGAGAGTGACAAGCAGCTAAGGCGACCATCACCACTTGCTAAGGCAGAGGAGAAGCGGGGAAAAGCTCCAGCCTCGGGCTGATGAGATGGCTCGGTTGGTAGAGGTGCCTCGTGTCAAGCCTGATGACCCGAGTTCAATCCCAGGGTCCCATGTAATGGGAGGAGAGAACTGACTCCCCTGGATTGCCCTCTGACCTCCACCCCCGTGCTCTGTGGCACACATGCCACTGTCCCCCGCCCACACATATTAAAATAAATAAATAAATAAAATGCTTAAAAATAGCATAACTGTTATTACAAGCAACAAAAAGCTCTGGGCTCTCCAGAACTGCACACCCCCCCCAGCTTGGGGTACCATTCTCCTCCCCATCTCAGTGGCTCCCACCCTCTCCAGGGTCCATGGCTCAGTCCATTCATACCTAACCTCACTCACTTAAGTGAAAAAAGGGTAGTGAGTGTAGTACACACCAGATGTTGCTCTGAGTACCCGGGATACTGTGCGAACAGAAAGACCTTTGCGTGGTTTATCATCTAGTTCCACACAACCTGCGTGTCAGCACAGTGGCCCGGGAATTTGGTGATCCTGATCTGGGGTCAGGTTTAGGATCTACTGCCCACTGGAGCCCAAATGTGATGATTAATGTTGATTATTGACTTGACAGGCTCCAGAACCATCTAGGAGATCGGCTTCACCGCAGGTCTGCGAGGGGACTTCTAGACGGGGTTACAGAACTGGTAGCTTCCTTTGAGCCAACCATGGAGCCTCCCACCTCTCCTGGCTGGAGCCAAAGCCAGCATTCACCTCCTTCTGGAATGCAAGAGCAGAAGGAGAAACATCTGGAGGTCTCCCCGGGCAGCCAGGGGAAGGTGGCGGGAGAGGAATGAGATTCTATGGGAGCTGAAGGTGCAAGAGAGAAGTTGGACTCCCAGAATACAGGGGGTGGGATGGGGGGCAGACCTGCGATGGCCCCTTTTGGCTTGTGACCCTTCTCCTTATACTTTGTCTCTGCCTGGGTCTTTGGGGCAGACGGGAGCTCCGTCTGCCCAGAAGGCAGGGAAGTAGCTAGCGAGCAGGTTGTGACAGTCGTCAGTTGTGGTGCCTAAGAGTAGAAACTGCTCCAGTTACACTCATCTACAGATGTTCCCCGCTTTACAGACAGGTTATGACCCAATATGCTTGTCATAAGTTGAAAATGTCCGACTCAGGAGACAGCTCGGGAAAGTGATGAGCAGCATAGGGTCATGATCTCTAATCTCAGTTCGTAAGCATGGTGGCGTGTGCTTGTAATGTCAATACTGGGAAGTGTAGACAGAGAGGTCCCTGGGCCTCACTGGCTGCTTCACTGGTGAACTCCAGGACAGTGAGTGACCCTGCGTCTTAGTTAGAGTGTCTATTTCTGTGAAGAGACACCATGCATGGAAACTCTTGTAAAGAAAAGCATTTAATTGAGATGGCTAGCTTACAGTTCAGAGGTGCAGTCCATTATCATCATGGTGGGATATGGCAGAGTACAGACAGACATGGTGCTGGAGAAGTAGCTGAGAGTCCTACATCTTGCAGGCAACAGGAAGTAGTCTGAGTGCTGGGTGGTATCTTGAGCATGTGAGACCCCAAAGCCCACCTCCACAGTGACACACTTCCTCCAATAGGACCACACCTACACCAACAAGGCCACACCTCCTAATAATGCCACTCCCTGTGTATGAGCTTATGGGGGCCAATTACATTCAAACTGCCACACCCTGTCTCCAAAATAAATAGTGCAGACCTTCCTTGAAAAATGACAAAATTGTCTTCTGGCTTCTGCATGTACACAGACAGATAGGCATGTCTGCACAGACATCCACAGGATGCATACACATGAACATATGCAGAGAGAGAGAGAGAGACGATTGTAAGCCGACATGTCTTTGGATCCACTTAACCTGCTGAGCACTGGGCAGGCAGTACAGCCCGTTGCACAGAACAGTCCACATTCCATATAATGTCTCTAGTCCAGGAAAGATCAGACTGCAAAACGTGACTCCTACTCAACACTTAACTCTGTCAGGCCATCAAAAACCATAAGTCAGGCCACAGATCCTGCTCAACTATCTAGTGGGTGTGGCCACAGGCCCCTTCTGTGTCTCCAAGCTTCATGTCTCTGTCAAAAGGACAGTGATTGAATTATGAGACTCGCTGACATTTCCAGTACCTCACTGTAGCAGTCACTCCCCTGAGTGTTTCTGTGTGTCCCCTGCTCTTGCTCCCAAGCCACCCAGAACTCAATCAAAGTGTGATTATAGGCACCAAAATCTTGGATATTTTTTTTCAAAGCAGTATGCTCAATACCCCGAAGTTCTGGCTAGTCTTAATTCAACTTGACACACAAACTAGAGTCATGGGAGAGGAAAGAACCCCAGTTGCTAAAATGCCTCCATAAGATCTGGCTGTAAGGCATTTTCTTAATTAGTGATTGATGGGGGAGGACCCAGCCCATTGTGGGTGGCACCATCTCTGGGCTGGTGGTCCTGGGTTCTATAAGAGAGCAGGATGAGCAAGCTATGGGAAGCAAGCTAGTAAGCAGCACCCCTCCATGGCCTCTGCATCAGCTCCTGCCTTCAGGTCCTGCCCTGTGTGAGTTCCTGTCCTGACTTCCTTCAGTAATGAGCAGCAATATAGAAGTGTAAGCCAAATAAACCTTTTCCTCCCTAACTTGCTTTTTAGTCATGGTGCTTTGTTTCAGCAATAGAAACCCTAATTAAGGCGTCCACCATTGTTAAGGGGAAGGCCCTCATTCCACCCAGGAAGCACTACGCAATCAAAATGGTTTTTGTTGTTTCCCAAGTGAACGTGGACTGTATGGAATCAGGTTGGAGAATTTCATGCCCATCAAGGAGGAAGATTGATCAGGCTTAGGCATCTTCTATTCCAAGGACTCTGAAAGTTGGTTCAGCTGGAAGCTCAGAATTCCCTCCTCGGGGATGCTCTGGCAGCCACACAGGATGTGGAGAGTTCACCCTGGGCAGTTCCCTCTCACAGTGCTCTTGGTTTCCCTGAGTCCGGTAGTACGACCAGGTCTTTACTGGTGGTGTTTGCTTACATATGCACATAGAAGCCAGTCTCCCCAAGACATCCCTGGTCCTGTGCTCACTGGGCAGGCCAGTCAGGCTAATGTGTATAGGGCCCCAGGCAATTCATGGAGAGACAGACTAAGGATGGCTAAGTGCCCCTTGTCACAGAGAAGCAGGGATGTGGATGGGAGGACTGTGAGGTCTGAAACAGCCTGTCCCTAGCACAAAGAAAGAATGCTGGTTCTGTCTGGTTAGCTCACTTCACACAAAACACCATCCTCACCCGAGAGGGCTTGTGTCTGGATGAGACTGGGTGCTGACCCCCAAGATTCCCCAGCCTCCCAACCCACCTGTCACCACACACCCCTCCACAGAGGGAATAAAAACAAACCCTCTGAGCTCAATCACTCTTTTACAAAAGCTTGTGGGGCCTCTGAGCTCAGTTTCTCCATCTGTGAAATGAGGCGTTCTCGGGTTGCCTGGAATACATAGTCATACCTGACCCCCACCCTGCACCCACGCGCGCGCGTGCGCGTTCACACACACACACACACACACAGAGTAGGTGCTCAGAGCGCGGCCACGCCCCCACAACGGCCACGCCCCTCACCTGCTGACCCAGCCCGCCGCGTTGCCATGGCGACGCACGTACACAGGCCGGGCAGGCGCGCGGGGTGCGGGGCCAGGAGGGAGACTCCGCAGAGCGCGGCAGGCCGCCTCGCCCTGGAGCTGTCAAGCCGCTCCCAACCCGCAGGGCTCTTGGAGGAGGACGGAGCTCTAGTTTCCTCCTCCTGACAGGTAAGTGCGATTCCAGGGATGACTGGCAGAGAGCAGTGGTGATGGGAGGAGGCGTGTCCTCGCCCCAAGCTCTCCAATCCAGGCTCTAATTTCAGGGCAGCTGCCCAGACACCAACCGTTCCTCCCTAAGTGCAGTCACACCCTGTCCCCAGAGGCATCTTGATGGGACCTTCGGCCCCTAGGATGTCCACCTGGTGCAGCTGGATTAGGAGGAGAACTCTCTGACTTAGGCGGTCATCCATCAGCAGTCAGAGATCCCCTTGCCTGACCTCACATGCCCAGCTGTAACTCGGAGCAAAGTATACAGCTGGCTCCCAGGCTGAGTAGCCTTCACAGAATGTTCACTCCATAGCCCATTTCTAACCAGTCTCCGACCCATGTGTGATGGAAGCTGATCGGCTCTTGGCGGGGTATCAAGAGAGACCAAACCACAGTTTAGCACGTTCAAATGGCTACAGTATTATCAGGCAGGTGAGGGACTGCACAGGGCCGGACTAAGGTGTAGAAACGATGTCTTCAGAGGAAGCGGAAGAAATAGTCTGAGCTTCCAAAATTCCATCTAGGATTAACACTGAAGTGGGGAAGGAAAGGTAGAGGCTGACCTTCCTTGGAGGCATCGTTTTGTGCTCTCATTCAGTAAGTATTTACTGAACACCTCCATCTGCGTGGCATGGCAGCTCTGGGCACTGGAGATGGAGTCGTGACCAAAACCGTCAGGATGGCAGAGGGCCCCAGGATTTCACTCTACAAGCAAGCTAACAGTGAGGGACACTAACAAGTGAGGGAATGCAGGGAGAAGACACGAGACTCCTAGACCAGAGACCCCCGCCCCTTGCCTTGGCTGTCCTGCATCCACTCCGGGTTCCATCATGCAGGTGGGTGTGGTGGTGCATGTCTGGGAACACAGCTCCCAAGAAGGGGAAGGCAGAAGAATCAGAAGTTCAAGGTCATCCTTGAATGCCTAGCCTTGATTAGGCTCAGTACAGGGTGGCGATGGAGAAGAGACCTGATGTGATGTCCTCACCATCACAGCTACAGGGGTTTTTTGTTTCTATCCCCAGTGACATAACTCTGTTTTCCAGAAGGTTCTCATTTGAAAAGAAAATGAGGACTGTTGCTCTTAGAGCTAGGGTTGAGATGTGTCCTGGGCACCTGGATGGAGGGCAATTAGAATTCAAACAGAAAGATGCATTATCATCAATGTTTTAGGAATGTTCAATGTTTGTTTTTAAACTGTGCAGAACTTACTTTGGAGTGCATTGTGAGATAGAAATACAAATGGATGGGTAGAAATATGAATGGATGGGTAGAAAATGAATGGATGGGTAGAAATATTAATGAATGGGTAGAAATACAAATAGATGGATAGAAATATGAATGGATGGGTAGAAGTATGAATGAATGGTTAGAAATATGAATGGATGAGTATGTGGGAAAGAAGGCACAGCAAGCTGAGCATGGTGGTACACACCTGTACTCCTAGCTCCTGGGAGGTAGAGATGGGAAAATGAGTTCAAAGTCATTCTCAGCTATACAGTGAGTTTCAGACCAGCCTGGGCTACCTGGAGAACCTGTCTCCAAACCCCAAACCTAATCATGATAATAACGTTAATAGCAAACTATTGATTACAGAATCTGGGTGGCGAACTCACAGGAATTTCTACTCCTTTCTTTTTTCTTCTTTTAATGTGTGTGGGGTTTTGCCTGCAAGTGTGTGTGTGTGCACTGTGTCCACTCAGTGCCCACGAAGGTCTGAAGAGGGCATCAGATCCCCTGGAACTGGGATTATGAATGGCCACAAGCCACCACGAGGATGCTGGGATAATCATACCCAAGTCCTTTACAACCCTGAGAAGCCAGTGCTTTGGCCATCTTTCTGGCTCCATTTGATTTTCTTTCTATGTACTCTAGCCCACCCTCAAACTCACAATCCTCCTGTCTCTGCTTCCACAGTGCTGGGTTACAGGCATGCACTCCCACACCCAGCTCACTGTCTGCTTTAAAGAACTCTGTATAGTTGACATTTCCATAACAAAATGTTGGGGGAAATCTGTGCAGACTCCTGATCACATAGAATCTTGTATCTTTCTACTGCATCTTTAGAAATCAGTCCTTGGCTCAGCACTTGCCGAGCCAGCGTGAGGACCTGAGTTTGATTCCCATCACCCACCCACAGAGGGAGGGAACCGACTCCTGCAAGCTGTCCTATGATCTCCATATGCTTACTGAGGTATATGGACACCTGTGGGAGAACAGACACACACACACACACACACACACACACACACACACACACACACACACACACGAGAGAGAGAGAGAGAGAGAGAGAGAGAGAGAGAGAGAGAGAGAGAGAGGAGAGAGGAGAGAGAGAGGGAGGGAGGGTGTTTTAAAATTAAAAACGGAATCACTCTCTTTCCTAATTTAATATATGGAGAAATTCAGTGATTTACAAAGGCAGTATCAATTAATGCCTGCTTTTTCAGGGGCCCACCTGGTGCTTTAAACTCAGTGGGAGTGTGTGGGTCTCCGAACTGGAGTTTGAGAAGCCCAAATGAGCGTCAATGATAGCAGCGTATGCTGTGTGCCAGGCAGCCTAGGGGAGAGTAACTCACCCACAGTATCTGCACTAATAAGTGCTGGGTCATAGCTAATCAACATGAGCTGTGGGTGTCATGGATGACTAGGTGGGCAGCCATCATCCACGGCATTCAGGTTGTGCTTGGGTCATTTAGAGCTGTGTTTTTCCATCAGGAGGCTGGGGAGATGGCTCAGTGGTTAAGAGTTCTTACTGAACTGTCTTGCAGAGAACCCAGGTCCAGTTCCCAGCACGCACATGGCAGATCACAACCGCTTGTTTTTGTTTTTTTAATATTTGTTTATTTATATTATGTATATGAGTGCTCTATCTGCATATACGCCTGCACACCAGAAAAGGGCACCAGATCTCATTACAGATGGTTGTGAGCCACCCCGTGGTTGCTGGGAATTGAACTCAGGACCTCTAGAAGAGTAGCCAGTGCTCTTAACCACTGAGCCATCTCTCCAGCACCTCCCCCCCTTCACAACCACTTGTAACTCCAATCTCAAGGAATCTGGTACCCTCTTCTGACCTCTGTGTGTTTCTGAATACACTTGGTGAACATTCATACACTCGAGCACACACACACACATTCACATAAGGTAAAGAAATATATTTTTGAAAAATTTGAGTTTGATTATCAGATTTCGATTCTTCTCTGTTAGTGATCACTATTAGGCGAGATGACCTTCCAAAGGCATGGCCTTGTCAGCCAGCACCTGGCCACTCCGTCTCTACAGACCTTTCCCTCAGGACACGATGACTCTAGGGAGACCCTATCCATCCCAGTCTGACTAACGTGTTTCCCTAACCAAAGCCTTTCTGATTCCTTCTGCAGGGAAATCAGAGAGAATGAAAGCCTATTTGAAGAGTGCAGATGGCTTTTTTGTCCTAAATAAAAGCACCACGATCGGCAAGCATACGGATTCGGACCTTGTCTTACAGGTAAGAACACGGCCCACCCCTGCCCCATGCTACCCCAGCACTTCTTAGTGTGGGGTGGATGCAAGGCTCTCAGAGCCCAACGGCTACATCCAGCAAGCAGCCACCTAGGTCCTTGAGCCACCAAAAATCCACTATCACGCACAGGAATCTTCCGGGTGGGGGAGGGGAGCTGAGTGTCACCTGGAGGTGATGGGCCTTCTGCCTGTTGCTGAACACATCCTCACAGGTCCCACGTTGTTCCCTGTCCAAAAGCAGCCTTCTGGGTGCGTATAAGGTGTGCACAGGGCAGGTGCATTGAACTACCCTCCCCTGCCCTGTGCCAGGGGAGGCCTCTCTCTTTCCAAAGCCCCCGAACCGAGGCCTTTCCCTTTCCTTAGCCTGCCTCTGAGGGGACCCTGGAGCTCAGGAAGCTCTGAGGTGAAGCCTTGGGCTTAGCCGCAGCCTCCTTTGATTTACTTCATTCTCTGATGGGCTGTGGTTTGGTCCAAAGCCTCAGTTCACTGACAGCCAAGGAAGTGGAAGAAATGAATAATCAAAACAGAGGTTCCGAGTCTCTTTAAATATTCAAATTAATATTAAATATTAAATGTGTGTGGAAGGGCAGAGAGCTAGGGATGGATCCTCCTACAGTGGAAGAGCAGGGGCACTGCCCCCAACTCTGTACCACACCTCTTTAATATTCTTTCTTGTGAAGAGTCACAGAAGGTTCCAAAGATAGTGGAGGGAACTTGAGTGTGCACCTCACTCTGTTTCCCCAGTGATACACTTGTGTGACACAACAGGCCAGGACATGGGTCATGGTCCTGGACATATGTGTGTGGGAGGGTGGCCTGTGGAGAGCAGGTGGCCATGGTTTTATCACGGGTGCAGATTCGTGTGCAGAAGCCGAGATGTAAAACATCTACCCCATCATAGATCCAGACCCCACTTCATAGTTACAGCGGCCCCTCCCACCATCCCTGAGCCCTGAAACGAGTCTCCTCTTCTCCATGTTGATAAGTCTGTTGTTTGGAGAAAGTTACATCAGTAACATCATACGGGGTATGGCCTTTTGAGCTACGGGTTTGTTTTGGATGTATTTAGATTGCTGTCTTGTTTCTTTTTTACTGCTGGGTAGTATTCCGTGGTATGGACATGTGGCTGTTCGTTTAACCATTTGTGTACAGGACATTGTGATTATCTCTAGTTTGGGGCCATTTACAGATAACGGCCCATTTCAGTTTGCTACCCACCGCTGTGATAAACACCATGACCAGAAGCAATGCGAGGAAAGAGTTTATTTGGTTTACAAGTTCTGATCATAACTCACCACTGAGGGACGCCAACTCGGGAACTCAGGACAGGGACTGGAGCCGAGGTCGCAGAGGTGTGGACACCGCTTACTAGCTTAAATACCCCAGACCACGTGCCTAGGTAATGTTGCTGGCCCCTCCCACATTAACCATTAATTGAGAGAATACCTCACAGGCTTGTCCAAAGGCCAGTCTGATGGAGGCATTTTCTTAATTGAGGCTTCACTTCCGAGATGATTACAGATTGTGCCAAATTTACAAAGTATCTACCCAGCACAGTGCTGTGCACAATTTGTGAGTGGGCATGAATACCTGAGAATGTGATGGCAGGGTCATGGAGCAACGTCTGTTTAGTACCTAGAGACACCACCACACTTGTCCAAAGTGGCTGTGCGGTTTCCACCTCCGCCAGCATTGTAGGGGGAGATGGTTCTGCACCCCCTCCAGCAGTGAGTGCTGTTCATGGCTGTTTTATTTTAGGTGTTGAGTATGAGTGACGAGAGCCCCATAAATCTCCATATTTGCCTCATTTCTGATTCTAGAGAGAGGACAGTCAGCATCCCGCCATTACAGAGCAGGTTAGCTGTAGTGTAGCGTTTCTGGAAAGTTCGCCTAGTCTTAGGACAAATTCGACCAATTTAAAAATAGCTCAGCAGCTGGGCAGCGGTGGCGCACGCCTTTAATCACAGCACTCGGGAGGCAGAGCCAGGCGGATTTTTGTGAGTTCAAGGCCAGCCTGGTCTACAGAGCGAGATCCGGGACAGGCACCAAAGCTACACAGAGAAACCCTGTCTCAAAAAACCACACACACACACAAAAAATAGCTCGGCACATTCCCCGTGGTACTTACTCTTCCGGATGCCAGGACAAAATACCTGATGGAAACAACAGAGAACCTTGTTTGAGTGCACAGTATCCAAGAGAGTTCACTCCATGGTTACTGGGGCCCTTATGAGCAGTCAGAACATCAGTGGTGGCAGAGGAACTTCAGATCTCCTGACAGACAGGAAACAGAGTGGGAATACATGAAACACCAGGGCAGCTGCAACCCAAGGACACATCCCAGTGTGCAGTGATGTGCTTCCTCCAGATAGATCTCACCTCCTACTTCCCAATCATTCTTATTACAAAGCCAGGCATTGAATCAGAGTCCTCAGCATCTCCATGGAAACTACCATCCCAGATACTCCAGAGACATGCTTCACTAATGCCCAGGGCTAGCTTTCTCTATCTAGTCAAGTTGATCACCATAAACCTGTGGTGATTTGAATAGGTACAGCCCCCACAGGCTCATGTGATTGAATGCTTGGCCACAGAGAGTGGCACTATTAGGAGGTGTGGCCTTGTAGGAGGAGGTGTGACAATGTGAGGGCAGGCTTTGAGGTCTTATATGCTCAAGCCATGCCCAGTGTAGCACACAGTTCACTTCCTGTTGCCTGCAATCAAGATGTAGAACTCTCGGCTTCTTGCCAGCACCATGTCTGTCTGCATGCTGCCATGCTTCCCGCCCTGATGATAATGGACTGAACCTCTGAACTGTAGCCAGCCCCAATTAAATGTTTTCCTTTATAAGAGTTGCCATGGTCATGGTGTCTCTTCACAGCAATAGAAACCCTAACTAAGACACCACCACACCCCCTTTCACATGGTCTCCTATATGACAAGGTCTCCAGGAAAGGGCACAGAGAACCTGTTCAGTGCCCACACTGGGAAAATTAAGAGAAAGAGTCAGTATTTCTTCTTAGCACATTAAGAGAGAGAGACTTTAAGCCAGGCATGGTGGCCCAAGTCTCTAGTCTGAGGCAGAGGCCGTCGGATTTCTGAGTTCAAGACAAGCCTGGTCTACAGAGGGAATTCCAAGACACCCAGGGCCACATAAAGAAACCCTGTCTTGAAAAAACAGAATGAGAGAGAGACAGAGACAGAGACATAGAGAGAGACTTTAGGTCATTTTATTTCCTGTTAGCCAAGGTAAAAACAGGAATCTATTTAATTTTTTCTATTTTGTTTATTATTTATGTGTGTGTATGTGTGTGTGAGTGAGTGAGTGAGAGAGAGAGAGAGAGAGAGAGAGAGAGAGAGAGAGAGAACCATGGGAAGTGGCATGTGGAAGTGGCATGTGGCAGTCAGAGGACAACACTGTAGAGTGGGTTCTCTCCTTCCACCTTTACAAGGGTGGCAGGAATTGGACTCATTTGCCCAGGCTAGCATGGCAAACACTTTTTTTTTAAACTATCTTTTTATTTATTCTTTGTGTCTTTCACATCATGCATCCCAGTCCCACCCATCTCCTGTCTCCTTACATCCACCCTCTGCCCCTGCAACACCCCCCCTAATAAAACAAAATAAAATTTAAGATAAAAAAGAAAAGGAAAGGAAGAAAGGGAAAATCTCGTCATGGAAGCTGCAGCGTGACAGCGAGTCACGCAGGAAGCCCCTTTATCCATACATCTTCGTGTACAGGCATTCATCGCAAAGAATCATTAGCTTGGTTTGAGGCCCCTGGTCTCTGCTACACCATCGACGCTGGGCCTCACTGGGACTCTCCCTGGACATCCCCTTGCTGCCCCGTGTCATAGAGGTCCTGCAGCCCTGGGTCTGCACGACCTCCCTTTTGCCCACCTGTGCTCCAGTAGATCACAGATAGGGTGGACATTGGGGTGGGCCAATACTTAACTCTGGTTCCTGGCCTGGGTAGTCGCTGGGTTGGTCAGCCCGCCTGCTCTCCTCTGTCTTCACCACCAGGACAAGCTCTCCAGCATTGCCCTGGCGAGCAAGGGGCAGGGTCAGTTCTCCAGCTTTCACAGCCTTGGGGCCGGTTCTCCCACACCTACACCTCCAGGGCCAGCTCTACTGTGTTCCCCAGTCCAGGTGCAGGGCCACTCTCCCGAGTGCTGCAGCTAACGAGGGCAGGGACAGCGACAGCTCTCCTGCACTTATGACCTCAGGGCCAGCTCTCCTAATGGCAAGCACTTTTCCCTGCTGGGCCATTTCACCAGCCCCAGTGACCTCTCTTTTTGGACCCTACTATAAGACTAAATAATCATTCTGGTTTGAAAAGGCACAGGCAGGCAGAGTTGGACCTGAACCTCTTTAAGTCATTTCCTGACTGTGTGGCTTTAAGCTTATGTTCCCATCTGTGAACTATGTACCTCTCTGGATTCTGGTGTTGCCTGAATGAGAAAAGGCATCCGAATGCCTGGCACACAATGTTAAGTAAATAACACCGTGATCATTATTATGGGCTCATAAAATGAGGCTAAGAGAAATTCTCAGGAGCGCTGGGGGAGAGGAGGGCACCTATGGAGCCTGAAAGCTGTTTGGAAAAGGGAACTAATGAGAATCATTATTATACGGGCAGAAATTGAGTGGCATTTGATATAAAAATAATTGGCCACCTACTGTCCTTGGCCTCCTTCAAATGGAAGTCAGCAGGGTGGAGGGGTGGTTCCGTAGTTAAGAGAGCAGGCTGCCAATAGAGAACCCAATCCATGTGAGGCTCACAACCGCCTGGAACTCCAGCTCCGGGATCCAACACACAACAAGCACACACACACACACACACACACACACACACACACACACACACACACACGTAAAAATAAAAATTTCAGAAGCTGGATAAAGTTGAGCTGGTGAGGCTCAGTGGGAAAAGGGGCTTGCCGCCAAGTCCAGCCACCTATGTCTGATGCTGGGACCCACACGGTG